CAATCCATCTTTGTAATGCAACTTCAAACTCCAAGTGGAACTATGTGAAAAATGGCCAAGAAGATGGGTCAAAATTCTGCCTAGATTAGGGCAAATTTTCTCTAAGTTAAAAGTTTTAGGTACCCTTGTTCCAAAAATCATGACTTGAGATACAAGCTTCCTTTGAGAAAACTTTGTGAATCAAAGTTGTAGAATTTGTGATGGACTACAACTTTCATGTTGCAAGTTTTGTTTGAATCCAATTTCATCTTGGTGAAAAAATGGGACAAATTTAAGAAAAAATAATAAAAATTTCATAACTTAGAAAATTTCTAAGTTATGCAATTTTTTTTATTTTAAACCCTAATTTGCATTTTTGGGTTTCTTAATGAACAAGTTTCATAATTTGACATGTTTTGATGAAAAATAACTCTTGGCACTTGATTTTGACCAAAAAGTCAAAGTTTGACTTTTCAGTATACAATCAAATTTTGATCAGTTGACTGAAAAATTCATCTGTCAACCCTATGCATTTGAGATCTTTTGAACTTGTTGAATGGGTCAAGACAATGTCATTGAGTTCTTGAATCCATATGTGATCTTGGTTTGCCATTGGTTAGGTCAAACAGTCAAAAATTGCTTTTGTGCAGTCAAAACCCTAAAAATGACCATTTTGCCCTTTTGGTGATCTGATCAAATTTCTTGTGGAATTGTGATCCAAACTTGATAAAATGGTTCATATGAGTTCATAACGTTGATGTGGGTCAAATTTCATGAGTTTTGACTGTCAATTGGCCACAGTTGACTTTTTCCCCAATACAGCTGATTTCTAGGTCAACTGTCCAATTGACTGGGCAAAGATTTGAATCAAGGCTTGAAACTTGGTATGGGCAAACTTGTGAACCCAAAATGAAGTATGAAAGTCACTTTGAGAATTGTAGGTCAAAACATCCTTGTGCAAACTCAAACCCTAATTTAGGTCAACAGTGCAAGGAGGTGTCTTGAGCAGAGCAAACCCTAGCTTGATCTTGAGTTCCAAGGGTCTTGTGATGAGAAAGTGTTGATGAAATGAAAGGGAAAATTTTGGGGTAAAACACTTGTGATTAAGGACCATGGGGGTCGTCTTCGTCTCTCCTGTAGGGGGAGTGGGAAGGAAACTGGTTATAGTGGCGGTCGTAGTGATGTCCTTGGCCTCGGGGATGATCCTTTGGTCGAGGATGTGCTTCTACGTTGCCCCTGTTTCTATTTTCAGTGGATCGTTGTTCCCTGCACGGGGGGATGAGGCCGCGTCTCCCGATAGCCCCAGGCATGGTTCTCTCCAGCGCAGGGCGTCGGCCAGTCGGGGAGAGAGACTTCATGACCAGTCTCGTCTGTGTCTTCACGGGGGAGATTGAAGACGGTCTTCGTTCTGACGAGGAGGTGGAGTGTCAGGCCTTCTATGTCTTCTGGGGGCTCGACGAGAGTCCTCGAGCGCCCTTAGTCGCTCACCTTGTGAGAAGATCAAATAACTCGTCTGGTTAATGACCGCGAATAGAGCCCTGGTCGTGGCATCAGCGCCCGGAGGGACGGGGACCTCCTGAAAAGTGTTTGGCTCGTAGTTCTGGGGCAGATGGGTGTCCCCGTATGGTCGAGAGCGTGATGAGGAAGAGGCAGTCATGCCGTCTCTGTAATTCTATATTAGACTGACCATGTCGTCGTCGTTCTCGTTGTTGTTGTTGTTGTTGCCCATGTTGTCGACGATGTTGTTGTTGGGGTCAGCGAGATAGGCGTCTAAGTTGTTGTTGGCAGCTGGGTCGGTCATGACAATCAAGAATTTTGGAGTTGCTTTTGTCTTAGGTAAATGAAAGACGGGGAAGCTTATTTCCCACAGACAACGCCACCGGTCGTACCTGACTAGAATGGATCTCACAACCTTACGTCGAGCAGAGGTTGGAAGTGAGGGGGGGTACCTGCAAGAAACTCTGATGGTAAAGTAAGTTTCAGGGAGAGTGCAAGCAAGTGTAAGAGTATGTGAGTATGAAAGAATGAATATTTGACCCTCTCAAAAGAGAGAGTATTTATAGCCCTCAACGATGAGCCAAGGTCTCCAATGTTGGACCATGATGAGGCCCAATAAAGAAGACTATCAGGACTTACGTGTGTATGGAGACCAACACGTGGCCTCCCCTCTGGTTGGCTGCCCCGAGAAAGCAGGAGTTAGACCCGGTATTCTGAGGGCAGGAAGGTGACGATAAGGACACGTGGGCCACGTTCCCCAACGGATACATGGGGAGTTGCCCAACGGTATCCAACTTAAGTTGTTTGCTTTTGGACCTTGTACAAAAGTGTTGGATTGGATCTCCTCAACAGTGGGACAAGTGCGGGCCCAGTCTAGATCCGTTTCTTTATTTCCTTATATTAGGTTGTACCAGCTCGACTATTTAAAATTCTGCTGTTTTTTAATAACTTGTTTTATTAGCATTACCAATTTTATCATGTTTTTTCTCAACATTATTTGGTTCCTTATGTGAAGGTATCATTTTTTCATTCTGGCAATGAGGCTTTATCTGTAAAGGTCTGCTAGGAATAACCTATAGGCAGACAAAATATAGGGCTGAGTAGTTAAATGAAGCTTATAGTTAGTTCTGATATTTTGGTGCATATTAAATTTTGCTGTAACCGTAAATATGCATATAATAGTTTTTTGTGTTCCTATGTGAAAAAACTACATATCTCCTTTATATGTGGTGGCTATGTAACACGCAGGTAGCTCATTCTTTGATGATATTATCTTTAGCTAAATTATATCTCCATGACTTCATGTATGTTAGCTCATTAGGTTTTATCTTCCAGGGCGATGGTGGTTTATATTGTGGGCTTCATGTTGACAATGTTCGTATTGTTGAAAAAAATGTAAACGACATTGAGGGAGGTTATTGAGACGTATCATTTGAATGTTAGATTAACTCCAAATTAGAACATCATATTGATTGATATTCGCGCTGCATGGAAACATCTTTTCACTATTATTCTTTCTCAGTCTGGTCTGCTGGTAAGATGTTCACAGCTTAATTCTTCTAGTGAAATAGATATACATTTGCCCTGCTCATTTATATTGAGCTATATTTGTTAATAACATTTGTAACTTGTCTCTTAAAATTGGAGATTTGACGGAGAAGCGCATGGAGATCGGTTTGTTTATTGATGCGCGTGAGGTGGAGAGAGGTGAGATTGGGGAATCTATGGAAGAGATTCGGGAGGAAAGGGAGGGTGGGATCGGAGATTGTGAGGGAGAATCGGAGGCGGAGACAGTTAAGTCAGTTTAACAGTTTATCATAAGTAGATAAGAAAAATGAAAAGCAGACATAACAGTCAATTAAACTCAAGTCACTGAAATAACTTATTTCTCATGCATCATATGGGTCCAGCTACTACTTGATTTTAGTCATTTTGTTTAAATTAAATATCATACATATTACAAATATCAATTTATATTGAGCAGTGAACTAGATATACCTTTGCCATGGTACTATTTTCCACTCACTTTTCACTAATGCTTATCCATAAGAAATTGTGGAAACCAATTTTTAGAGATAATCTAAGTTATCCTAAACTACTCTTGGCCATAATCACTATGTTGCAAGATATTTAATATATTCGGACATAAATTTACTTTATTACATATGATTGAATTTTAGTCAATTTCTTTACTATCACTTATTCTTGACATCATGCTAATGGTTAGTTATGTTCTATTTATTTCTTTTAATTTTCTCTTCTCTATAAGATTTTATGCCGGTAATTATCTCAGATTTGTGATTGGTAAATTTTTAGACCAATTTTAATAGTTATGTGATGTGTTTTTAGGAATTTATTTATCTTCTATAAACTGAACAAATTACTTTAATTTTGAATCGTAATTCTGCAATTTTGATTTTGATTTACTTTTTCAGGTTGGTAATGTGTATGTTCAGTTTAGAGAGGATGTTGAAAAAACTATTAAGAATCTCAGTGGTATATTTTATGCCGGTAATTATCTCAGATTTGTGGTTGGTAAAAATTTTGGCCAATTTTAATAGTTATGTGATGTGTTTGTGGGAATTTATTTATCTTCTATAAACTGAACAAATTACCTTAGAATAAAATGTAAATAGTCTCGATGAAGAGAAAATCTGGTGATATTGCTATACACTCATGATTTGTTATATGTATGTATCAACTCGCGATTTTTTCATCAAAAATTGAATTTATTTAATTCACTTGACAAATCACTTTCAAGGAGCATAATTTTTATATAGATGGTTACGGGGAGGAACCTGTTAAATAGACTACCGTCGTCATCACCATATGAAGTAGTGCCACAAAGGAAGCCTATTATTAGGTAAACCATAATTTCTTGAGACATTTCTACTCGTCATGTTTTGTTTGATTTCGATATACTTCGAATTGGCTAATATTAGTAGCAGTAAGAATTGTACAGGTTGGTTGATAGGAATCAAAAAACTTGAATCATAGGAGTGGACTTGATTATGGTCAACATGTTATTTGGTAACCTGCTGAAACTGCATAAACAATTGCAATTCCAAGATACTCTTTCTGCTCCTCCGTTTGAAACTTTCAAGGTAATTACTTCACAAGTAATTTTTGTAAAATGCGTAAGTAATTAGGAATAAGAATAGTAATTAGGAATAAGAATAGTTCATATTGATTATTTTTGAGGATATTCATCCACTTGAATTATGAGAGTGTGTTGAAATATTAAATTAGATTTGTTAAAATATTATATTACATTAGATTTGATTAGATTTAATATTTAAATATAATTTAAGTTGTGTTAGCACAAACCTAATTAAGATGATATATAAATAGTCATAATATATATTATTATTTGTATAATTATATAAATTTTTATTTCTTTTATTATTCTCGTTTTTAGTCTACACTAAAAGTGTCTCACGCATATTTCTGAATTTCATAGTTATATCATGTTTCTTGGTTAGCATCAAACTTTTTTTTTTTTAATTCACATATCATTCGTGAGCAGGATCATTGAGAATGATATATTCAAACAAGACCGGGTCTAGAGCAAAAGCTGACATAGTACAGTATGTCTGCCTCAAATGGACCTTTGCACTTCTTATTGGATTAGGCACAAGCCTTACTGCATTTTTCAGTAGCATTGGAGTTGAGAATATTGTCGGTTTCAAGCTTAATCTCACCAACGATCTCATGCTTAATCAAAAGTATGTATAATCTATTTCTATCATGTATGTTTCCTCCCTTTTTTTAGCATATCCCCTTATTCATCTCTCTCGATCATTATCACTTTCCAGTTTTTGTTAGTACATGTTCATATTAATATTCACCTTTGTTAGTACATGCTATCAACAAAGGCCAAGCAAATTGCAGCATTCCTTATATAGATATTTAATTTATGCAGTTAGAGGATCACAGCCAGCATCGCCGTGTTTGATAAACTCTTCGCGGAGTACTTTATTATTTTTTATGCAAAACAGTTTTGGGCAGTTGACATATGCTTCCCTGCAAATTTACAAGTCCATTATTGGCAGTGGATTTATGAACAGTTTTGGCCAAAATATCAAGCTTTCCAACAAGTTTTGTTTGGAATATTTTTAGGCATTTTCATCGACTCTTAACATTATCACAACATAAATAGTTGATGAATGGATCGTTGTGAGGAAACTACAAAATAATGTAGAAAACTATTTTTTAGTGTATAGAAATTTTTTTTTACTTTTCACCATCGATATAGTACAGTTCGAAAATCAGTTCTGATATCAAATAGTTTCAATCTCCTTTTGTTCGCAGAAAATATTATATCTTTTGTAAAACTGTTTAGAGCCAGAATATAAAAGAGTGTATACTAGACAAATGCAACTAAAACATTACTCTTGATACACATTAACAAATTTCTATTAGTTTGTTGAAAGATTTCATGTGATTGTTAACATTAATATTGCCCATGAATATAGCATTTTGATCATGATTTGCTACTATTTCACATTTTATTACTTATACATTCTATCATTACGATTATAAATTTTACTTAAATCACATTTTATTACTTACACATTCTATCATTACGATTATAAATTTTACTTAAAGTTATAAATTAAAGAACCCGTGTGGACGGCCGCACAAAACTTCTACTAGTGTTGCATTGAAAAAGTAAAATGACACTTATATTGGGACAGATTTTTTAACCTAAAAGAGACATTTATTTTGAAACAGATTGAGTAATATATGTTTATTATCTACGGGATTGTAGAGATGGTTACTAGCAACCTGTAAATCGCACCGTTCTCGTCAAATTGCAACTTTCATTTCAGCTTGTCATTCAACCTTCTTTCTCATTATGGTTCGTTTATTTCAATTATTCGTGTAAGAGATATCATGGTGAACAGTAATGAGCTCACAGAATGTGTAAAATTGTGTAAAATTTTAATCATCCAAATTTGAATGGAACTGTTGTTGCATGAAACATTCGTTGAATCCTGCTATGGTTCCTGTATATTTCATCATTGGTGTTAAAAGCATATTTCTTCTCAAGACCCACCCCAAGACCCAACCCAACCCAACCCATCTTCCTTGATATATAGAAATTGTAAAGTTTCCCCACTAGAGATTCAAGCATAAACTCAGCAATTCATAATCTTCTTGAGCATTAAACATAACCAGCATCGTCAAGTACAGTTTAAGAAGATAATTTTCTAGTAAGATGTAAAACTAAAATGTCTCATGTAAACGTTCATTTAAAGCTATCTTCTTAGCAAAAACTTCATACAGTTTCATGTTGAGTGATTAGACATAGACGCCGCTAGCAAGTAGGAGGAACAACGACCCAAAACCCTGTGAAGATAACGACAGGAGCATAAGTTTTCAACCTTACACCAACGTCAAACAACGTATAAAACAATACATACCAAGAAGACTGATGCAACTGCCCCTGTTATCAGCTCCTGGGCAAGGGAACGGGTTTTCCTAGATGAGGTTGCTTCATAACTGCAAAAAACACAGATTTCATTTTAAAGATACAAGATATCACAAAAAGATGTCAGCTCACCAAACCTGTCACCATTAATATTAATAAATAAATAAAAATACAAGACTGGGCTAATTTGAATAAACTTCTCAAGAAGCCCTAAAGAATAAATTTTAAGCTACACGGGTCGAATTCAATGCCTTCTTCTCCCAAAAAGGTACTTCATCGCATTAATGCAATTTGTAGATGTGGTCTGTAGGTGACACCATTACCAGAAAGTCCCCGGTGGTCTGGGACATGGTTTGTGCGCCAAAAGCTCAGGCGGTATGAATTTAATCTCGCTTGAATTGTGGAATAGAGCAAACATGACGAAGTTACTGTGGAACATCAATCAGAAGACCGATAGCCTATGGATTTGATGGATTCATAGCTATCACATTAAACATGACGATCTGATGACTGTGCAGGTAAAACAGAGTTATTCATGGATTTTCAAAACTGTCCTTAAACAAAGAACCACGCTTCAGCTTATGCAGAGTTGGACTAACCTGAGGGAAAAGTTCGACACTAAAAAAGTTTACAGGCACCTAAAAGGCGATGGTCCAAAGACTGATTGAAGGAAAACTTTGTACAGTAACATGGCGAGCCCTCGATCTTTGTTTATTTTCTGGCTAGCTTGTCACCATAGATTGGCTACTAAAGATCGCCTCAGATAGTTTGATGTTATTGTTGAAACTAAATGCTGCTTCTGCAATCATGAAGAAAATATCAACCATCTGTTTTTCGAATGTGTTACCCTGCGGCATGTTAGGCAGCAAGTCCTTGACTGGTTGCAGATCACACATGTCCCGAGAAGTTGGGAGGAGGAACTGAATTGGATCGTGGAGGCTAGTAAGGGCAAGGGGTGGAAAGCTCAACGGTTGAAAAGTGCAGCTGCTGAGACTGTCCATGCCATTTGGAAGTATAGAAATGATGTGTGTTTTGGAAACAAGGTAAATAACACTAATATAGAAGATATTATCAATATACTATAGTTCATAGGAGATGGAGTAGTCCCAAGATTAGAGAGCACATTGCTCAGTTGATGTTAATCTAGTCGTGACTCCTTTTTTTGGTTTCGGTTGTCCCTTTTTGCGGGTTGGATCAGTTACGATCACCTTGTACAGAAGTTGTTTTTGAATTAACATATCATTGCTTGATTAAAAAAAATGAAATATTAAAAAATCTTGCACAATATGTCTTGAGTTTTACAAACAGTAGCTTCTTGCTGAAGCTTAAGTCATGATTATGCATCTCAATTTTTTAAGCTCTCTTATATTGCTTCTTTTCAAACAATAGCTAGTAAGAACTTTTGCTTAAGTGAAGATTTATAAAGATATATTAATTGAGAAACTCTCATACACTATAAACCAATCCAAACTAGGCCAGGTCCATAACACACCCTTCGCTAATACATTACAAAACCAATTGTATCAATCAGTTCTGTAGTTAAATTTCACATATATATATCCCGCCTTACAAAAAACACTCTCTAATGGCAATCACCATTGCTTCACGAGATTATAAATAAATTAAAAAACAGATAATGATAATTTAACTAACAGATCAGTTTTATTTATTTTAACATTTAAAGTGCAATTTAAGTTTTTAGCGTGAAGAATGCACGTCATTTATAGGTCCAAAAGCTCTAAAAATTGCAAGATCTCAGCAAACGACAGATGCTGAATGCATGCCTTCCTAGTCCCAGAGTCCAAAAATATTAAAGTCTACAAAAGAATGAAGAAAGGCGTGACGCATAACTGCCTGCTGAAGTTCGTTATCTAAAGAGTGGAAACTAGCTATATGAGCATGTTGGGATGAACTGAGTGGTAGGCTGGAACATGGATAGTATAGGCACTATAGAATTGCCGATAGTTATTGTTTTCCCTTCTTCTTTACTGTAAACACTCCTTCGGTAAATAATACAGTACAGTTAAATTTCACTTCCATTTGTGTTACAAATGTTTTGGTTAAAACAACTAGCTCCTCACATGTGCATCAACTGGTTTAACAACAAAAGTATAAAAGGGACTGATTCAATTGAATTTGAACGGGACGCCGGAAACACAACAACAATCCAGACACGTCAACATCAATAATAAATTCAGACACCGACACGTCTTTTTTCTTCCAGGTGTCCGTGCTACATAGGCCTTGCCTATCAGAAAGCAAATTCGATGAATTACACATCATACATCAAATTTAATCTCACATCTACAAAATCTCCCACTCCAACGAGTAAAATCCGCATACACGATCCACATAAACTCCTCACAAAACACCTATCTTAACCCGTCACTAAACTCAAGAAACAGTTACCAGATCTCAAAATCAAATCCATAGTTGTTAACGTACATTCAAATCGCCAAATCCATGCAAATTTAGTTAAAATCCAGAAATATAGAAATCGAAAAGGAAGGAGAATCCGATCGGAACTTACATGAAGAAAGAAGCGGTTAAGATGAGACCGATTGCGAGTGTGAAAACGGAGAGTGTAGGGTACAACGAATCAGTGATAGGACTCGCGATCGCTTTTGCAGCCTTACACAAATTGAAAAAACAAATCGCGAAATCAGAATGTGTAGAATGAAATTTAAAACGAAATTGAATCGATTCAGAAGATTACCATGATTGAGTGTGAAGATCTTGCACCTTCGGAACTTCAAAACGCTTCTACAAAGTGAAAACAAACTCGTTTGTTCCAACTCACTAAACTCGGTTTTGTACTTTCTTCGTCTTCTTTTGCGGTCAACTCTTTCTACTGAAGAGATTTGGTTTGTAATAAGCCCAACTCTCAAGGCCCAAACTTTTCCTACACCCTCACTTTTAACAATTGCTCTTTTTTATACAAAATTTGAAATTAATTTTAACGCTGTAAATGATAATACAAATAATAATTGTAATAATGACAACACTATGTAAATTCTGTTTGCTAACTCCTTTTTAGGAGTTAGTTAGAGTTAGTTAAGAAGAGTTAGTTAGGATCTAACTACTTGTCTTAGCTATATATAGTTGTCTTCTACATTGTAATGATTGAGATTGAGAATTACATTTCTTTTTGATCACATACAACTTCTCTTCATTCAAGCTTTTTCTTTCCTTTGATTATGGAGTTTCAGCTTATTGTTGTATGTTCACATGGTATCAAAAGCATGTGATTCTGTTTTCCGCTGCGATCTTTCTCAATCTTCCTCTTTCGATCCTTTTTTCTTTCTCTGCAGCCTCTGCCTTTTTGTTGTTTCTCATCATGTCATCTTTAAGCTCTAATAGCAGTGATCATGGTGATTCTGCTTCAAGAAACAACAATAAAGGTTATCAAAATGATATCCTAAACCCTTATTTCATGCATCCCAATGAAAATCCATCTTTGATTCTGGTTACACCATTACTTTCCAATAACAATTATCACTCTTGGTCGCGTTCTATGACCATGGCTCTTCGTTCTAAGAGCAAATTGCATTTCATCAATGGTGTGTTACCACGACCTTCTGATCTTGATCCAAATTCTTTAGCATGGGATAGATGTAACACCATGATCATGTCTTGGATCAAGAATGCCGTAGAAGTTGAAATTGCTCAAAGTATTCTTTGGATGGAAAATGCTGCTGATATGTGGAATGAGCTCAAGGAGCGTTTCTATCAAGGTGATGTTTTTCGAATTTCTGATATCCAAGAAGAAATCTGCACATTGAAACAAGGTGATACTTCTGTTTCTTCATATTTCACAAAACTGAAGATTTTATGGCAAGAACTTGATAATTTTAGACCTATTCCTGAATGTGCATGTGATATTACTTGTCTTGCCATTATCAAGATTCGTACTTACAAAGCTAGTGATCAAGTAATTCGTTTCTTGAAAGGGCTGAATGATCAGTACTCTGCTATTAGGTCACAAATAATGCTTATGGATCCTCTCCCTAGCATTTCCAAAGTATATTCTTTGCTTGTTCAACAAGAGAGACAAGCTAATCTTCCGATTGATGAGTCTAAGATTTTGGTCACTCCATCTTCTGATCAGCATCAGACTACTCGTGATACTCAGTCTAAATCATATTCCAATATGCGTGGCAGAGGCAGCTCCAGAGGAGGTAGATCTTCTGGTGGCAGGGGCAGAAACAACCGTGTTTGCACGCATTGTGGCATGACTAATCACACCATTGATACTTGTTTTAAAAAACATGGTTATCCTCCTCATTGGAAGCATGATGGTACCATCAATCAATACAATACTACATCTGCTAGACCTGAGAACACATCTGGATCTGAAGCAAGTGCACCAGCATCTCATGGTTTGGCTTTTACACCAGAGCAGCATCAAGCATTGCTAGCCTTACTTCAAGGCTCATCACAATTGCAATCTCATACCATTAACCAGTTAACATCTCAAACTGATCTTGGATCAGGTACTATATGCACTATTCCAAATTCCTTCCATGCTGCATCATTCATATTAGATACAGGTGCTACTGATCATGTTTGTTTTACTCGTGAATATTTTCAGTGTCTTAAGCAAATTAAGCCCATTACCCTCAAACTTCCAAATGGCAGTCTTGTTACCACTAATTTTTCAGGCACTATTCAGTTTGACAGCAATTTTTACATCACTGATGTTCTTTATTTACCTAATTTTGCTTTTAATCTCATTTCTGTCACCAAATTAACCAAGTTACTCAATTGTCAACTTGTTTTTAATGATACTTCATGTACTATACAGGACAAGTTTTCTCTGAAGATGATTGGCATAGCTGAGTTACATGGTGGATTATATCTCTTAACCTCTCCTTCAGTCACATTACCTAAAACTCCTCCCATACATTGTATTAATTCTTCTGTTAATAATAGTCATGATTCTGAATGTAGCCTATGGCATATCAGATTAGGACATGCTTCTAATTCCAAATTGATTGAACTCAATAAAGAATTTCCTTTCATTAAACCTGTCAATATCAAATTGCCTTGTGATGTATGTTTCTATGCCAAACAGAAAAGACTGCCTTTTTCTCCTAGTTCCAATGTTTCTCTATCCACCTTTGACACATTACATATGGATATTTGGGGTCCATTGGCCATACCATCCATGATGGGCTATAGGTATTTTTTAACTATAGTTGATGATAAGAGTAGATTTACATGGCTGTATCTTATGAGACTAAAATCTGAAACCACTTCTCATGTTAAGTCTTTTGTGGCATTGGTTAAAACTCAATTCAATTGTCATGTCAAGTGCATTAGATCAGATAATGGCAATGAGTTTTTGATGCCTGATTTTTACAATCAATTAGGTATCATTCACCAAACATCTTGTGTGGCTACCCCTCAACAAAATGGTATTGTTGAAAGAAAACATCAACATATCTTGGGCATCACTAGAGCTCTTTTATTTCAGGCTCATTTGCCTCCATTATTTTGGGCTCATGCAGTGAGTTATGCTGTCCATATCATCAATAGACTTCCCACACTTTTCTTAAAACACAAATCACCATACCAAATTCTGTACAACACTTTACCTGACATGACCAACCTGAAAGTTTTTGGTTCTTTGTGCTATGCAGCCACTCTAAAATCCAATAGAAAGAAATTAGATTCCAGATCTAGAAAGTGCATTAATCTAGGTCATAAATCTGGTGTGAAAGGACATCTTTTGTTTGATCTGCATAATAAGGAACTGTTTATTTCCAGAGATGTTACTTTCTTTGAATCTCATTTTCCATATAAACACAATCCTCCTTTGTCTTCACATACTACTACACACATGGATGCTTTATTTGATGATATGTTTCTGCCTCATTCAGTTCCCAATCCTATGTTTAATCATTCAGTTGACAATGGTCATATTGAGCATACTTCAGTTGACAATAGTCATACTGAGATTCCTTCTCCCTCTACAGATTCCACTACCAATGAAACCAATCATCTTCCCTCTATTACCTGTGATCCCATACCATTAAGAAGATCACATAGACAAGTTCATACCCCTAACTATCTAAAAGATTATCATTGTAATATGCTTCATCATCCTGACTCAGCTATGGCCTCATCTTCATCCACCTGTAAGTATCCCCTTTCATCTTCTATATCCTATGATTCTTTTTCCTCTTCTCATAAACATTACATGTTAAATTTGTCTGCCAATCCTGAACCTACATCTTATGAGTATGCTATTTGTGATGAGAATTGGAGAACTGCTATCAATACTGAATTGCAGGCTCTGGTTAAAACTAAAACATGGGATCTTGTGCCATTACCTTCAAACAAGAAAGCCATTGGTTGTAGGTGGGTTTTTAAAGTAAAAATGCATGCTGATGGTACTATTGAGAGGTACAAGGCACGACTTGTTGTAAAGGGGTTCACTCAAACTGAAGGATTGGATTATACTGACACTTTCAGTCCAGTTGTTAAAATGACCACTGTTAGAGTTTGTTTAGCTATTGCTGCTGTTCACAATTGGCCCTTGTTCCAGCTTGATGTTAACACAGCCTTCCTCCATGGTGATCTTAATGAGGAAGTTTACATGAAGCCTCCACCTGGTCTCATTTTGTCTACTCCAAATCTTGTTTGCAAATTACAAAGATCTCTTTATGGGCTGAAGCAGGCTAGCAGACAATGGAACACAAAACTCACTGACACCCTTATTGCATCAGGTTATGTCCAATCCAAAGCAGATTATTCTCTTTTCACTAAGACTTCTTCTCAAGGTTTCACTATGATTCTGGTTTATGTTGATGATTTAGTAGTTGGAGGCACTGATTCTCATGAAATTTTACAAATCAAAACTTGTTTGGATGCTAAATTCAGTATCAAAGACTTGGGAGTTCTTAAATACTTCCTCGGCTTTGAAGTGGCTCGTAGCTCTCATGGTATTTCTTTGTGTCAAAGAAAATACACCCTTGATTTGATTTCTGATGCTGGTCTTCTTGGTGTCAAACCTTGTTCCACCCCTATGCAACCTCATCTTCAACTTCACAAATCATATGGCACACCTCTCTCTGATCCTACTCCCTACAGAAGGCTTATTGGTCGTTTATTGTATCTCACACATACTAGACCTGAAATTTCCTATGCTGTTAGCAAACTAAGTCAATTTCTTGCTGCTCCAACAGATAAACATATGTTAGCTGGTCTACATGTTTTGAAGTATCTCAAAAACAATCCAGGCCAAGGACTCATTTTTCAATCTAATGCCTCTTTATGTCTCAAAGGTTTTTCAGATTCAGATTGGGGTGCTTGCCCTGATACACGAAGATCCACTTCTGGTTTTTGTTATTTTCTTGGCACTTCACTCATTAGCTGGAAGAGCAAGAAGCAGCCTATCATTTCCAGATCTTCATCTGAAGCTGAGTATCGTGCTCTTGCTCAAGCTACTTGTGAAGGGGTTTGGCTTCTCACTGTTCTTCGTGATTTTCACATCATTCATTCAGTACCTATCATTCTTTACTGTGATAACAAATCTGCCATGCATATAGCTGCCAATCCTGTGTTTCATGAACGCACGAAGCATATAGAGATCGATTGTCATGTTGTACGTGAGAAAGTTCTAGCTGGAGTTGTTCATCTCATGCCTGTCACTTCTAAGGAGCAGGTTGCCGATATTTTCACCAAGTCTCTTCAACCCGGTCCTTTCAATACTTT